CACGCGTTGGGGCGGAGTTTCTCCATCATACTTATCAGACCCTTACCCCCCCTTGGGCCCCCCTTTGAACCGTTGCGCTGACCCTTATGGCTCTTAGGCTACCCCCTTGCGATCCCCTTTAAGCCCCTGACGATACCCTTGCGCCCCCCCCTTGCAGCCCCCCCTTACGAAGTTTCTCCCCCCGTATGATTTGGGCCCCCCTTTGTGACCACCTTACGAACGAAAGTCACACTTTTTTGGGCTTCTCGATCGCTCGAAGCAGAAACCTTCGGCAAGCTTCGAGCCGTAAGGCACGCAGCGACAAGCCTGCAAACCGTGATCCCTTCAGTTCCGCGCTCTCTTCGCCTGGTGCAGAGCAATCCAATGCAACCATACCCAGCAGGCAACTCAAGCCGACGAGCTGCAACCTAAAGAAAGAGAGAGTGGGCGCCGACCTGGGTGGAACAGCTGCGGACCGTGGTTGCCTGCGTCTTGGATGATTAATAAGCAGAGACCGCCTGCCAAAGCCTGGCCAAACTTGGACGGAGGGGTGACGGCGTGAAGCTTGAGGGCAGACGTTCGCCAGCCCTCTGTGGGTTTACCGCCTTGCTACTAACCCACGCGCGCCAGACATTCACGTCGGCGCTCCTGTTAAGCTAACCACAACGAACGCAACACGAGACAGACCAGCCCGGCGGGCCCTCTTTGGATTCTGTAGCAAGATGAGTGACCCCAGGCCACGCGGATAAGTCTGCCCCTGCGCTGCTTCTCTGGGTGCATGGGCTGGAGTGCGTGGCGGAGGTGGTCTGCGTCAATCGGCTTGCTTCTTCGCCGAATTTCTTTGGCAGGCTTGCATCGCTCGAAACCCACGCGGGCGGCCTTGTGTGGGCTTCGCGTCATAATCCACAAAAGCAAAGCCCGAGCCCACGCTATCGGGTCGCTCGCGTCGTCTTTCCTTTGCGTGGATGGTTATGCAGAACATGCAACCAACTCAAAGCGGCCAGCGGCTTGGGGCCAGCCGATGGCTTGGCTGTGGGTTTCGTGCGGTGTGTGGTCCAAATTCGAGGAGCTTCAGCGTGGTGCCTTTCGTTGGTTTCTTTAGTCTCTACTTACACTCACCGCGCGCACTGGTTTGGCATGTGTGGGACATGCAAGGCGGGGGGCCCTGGATAGGCGGCAGGCTGCAGCCTGGCTTCAGCACGTCTGGAAGGTCACGCATGAAAGGCGTCGAAAAACTCAGAGAGACAGACCAAAGAAAGACGAGCACCAAGAACGCGGCCCCAGGTCAATGCATACTGTGCGCAAGAATCAAGCCGCCCCTGACGGAGCTGGAGCACGTCTAACCGTAAACGCGCGCCATTTCGTTGAGGTTTCGCAGAAGCAAGAACAAGAACCCAGACAAGGCGCAAGAAGCTTGGAGTTGGAAAGGTTTTCCCTTTGCATGCGTGGGCCCCGCGCTGTGGCTGTCGCCAGTCAGTCCCTGTCGTGTCACCCGCCTCACCAATACCAAAAGAAACACACCTGGGCCACGGCGCGGCGTCCAGCCTCGCCTTGCCTCTGCGTAAGGAGGCAGGCACGCCCGGTTTCACGCCGAAGTGGATCGATCAGATCCACGCAAAACGAGGACGGCGCGCCTGCGTCTTGGCTGCTCTTCTGTGCTTGGAGTGAATACATAGGCGGCAAGGTAATGGGTGCAGACGGTGGCCCGGCGTCAACGCTCTGCGCCAGTTTGTGAGGCCCGGGCTGTGCCTTGGAGCTGCAGCACGATCAGGCACTGTCTGGACCATGCAGAGAAGCCCACACACTCGCCCAGAGCAAAGCTTTCTAGGATTTTCTCTTGGGCCGTAGTAGCCCACCGGCCTGCTCACGCTGGGACCCACAGGGGCCCGCACTCCACTTGGGCCGCGGCCCATACTCAGACGGGCTGGACCATGAAGCAGCGCCCAAACTTCTTACTTGGTGCTTCGAGTGAACCAGACTGACGGAGCGCGAGCCCGGGGCTGTGCTTATGCCTTACATAGTACGGCGAGGGGGGGCTCGCGCGTTGTGTGGGTTTCGGGTCAGAGTGCAAAACTTGGACCACGCGAAACCTTAGGCCAGGCGCGGCTTGATGTGGTGCAGCCGTGCTCTTGCCGTGCTAGACCCGCCCGGCGGCTCTGTCAGTCTCTTTCACTGTGATGACGTTCGCTATGGTTTGGCATTCTTCTACACCTTTTGACGCAACGAGCTACCCCCTGCCCCCAGCACGAGCACGCACCCCACCAGTATTATATGCAAGCATTCTTAACTACGTACTATAACTATTTATTAGAGAGAATTATAACTGTACTACGCTATTAAGAGATAGAATGCGTATTCTTACCGAGAGAGGATTATCGCTATCTGTAGTGATGACACTCTCTAATTCTAAGTGATGCCGTAGTTACTGTTACCTCTAGTTGATAGAATTCTCCACTACAGATTCAGTTGATAGAATTCTCTACTGCGTACGGAAAGTTCTAATTGATGAATAACTACGCCTACCCCTACGGTAACTACAGATAGAATAATTTTGTTATGATAGAATACGTATAACACTCAACTACGGTATAGTATCAATATTATACTCTCTCTAAGCTTGCTCCTTACACGAATAAGAATGATATTAATCAGATGGATCATTGTCTGAAGAAGCCTTAATAAGTGCTCTAGTGGCGAAAACAACTTGGTCCTCCAAGCTGCATCACGCATAGCTCCATTCATATCCTCCCTAATGCGCGTGTCCGTGTCCTTCATCACAAATTAGACGAGAGGCCTTGTTGTCTTCATTTTACTCATCTCGGGCTCCTCCTTATCTCGACCCCTTTATGTTGTTCCATGTAATAAATCCTCCAAAAGAGGTGCGAGGCAAAAGGGTTGGATCGCGAGGAGATGCTGAGCAAGATGGACGATAAATAAAAAGCTAACCTTAAAAATCATAATTGTTAACCCTCCTCGGTTCAAAAAGGACTCCACAATTCTTATCAATGCGATCGAGACGTCCTATTAATTGCGGTCTCTCGTGGAATTTCGCGCTAAGGATCCCTGAAAGATATGGCGCGAAAAGAGCACGTGTTTCTTGTTGGATTATTTGCTTCGTTTCCAATGCTTGTCTAGCGGCATATCGCGCCCATGCTGCGAAGTTTAAAAAGCCTCCGGTGTATCGGCCACGACATCGTGGATAATCCGATCCTGTCGGAAACAAAATGCGCTCCGCCAGCGACTCATCGATCAGCATCTGTTGAATCTGGCTGGCCCACGTGAGAGGCCTCTGCTGCTTAATCCAACTGATGTTAGAACTCACTCTGATCCATCTTCAAGACCAGCATCTTGAGACCGTTATGCTTATCCCCTTGCAATCGGTCGCGGGATGCTTCCGACGAAGAAGATCAAGATGTATTAGGGGAGACCTTAATACTGCCGTGAGTGCCTCCCACCTCCTTACCCAACCACTCTTGATAAGACACAGCAGGTCGCGGAGGTCTTAGTTGTTGCGGTGCTGCTCCTGATTGGTGTGATGTTTTCTGCTTTTTTTTACTGCTTGCCTTACGCAACCACTCCGGATAAGACACAGCAGGTCGCGGAGGTCCTAGTTGTTGCGGTGCTGCTCCTGACTGGTGTGATGTTTTCTGCTTTATTCTACTGGTTGCTCTACTAAGAGTATCTTCTGGTGAATATATTGATCGCTGCTGTTCCGCGTGACTCCTCCACAGGGACCACAAATAGCTGCGATCGCGTCCATCTTCCTTGCTGCTTCCAGCAATCGTTCCAGCTCTTTCTGCCAATCCTTGTTCCTCCTCCAACACCAGTGACCCCCAAGCCCTTGACTCCTCTAGGTGGAGAATCGTTATGAATGCTGCCTATTCCATCTAGCCAGACCATCCCGGCTACCCTTTTCCCCTAAAAAACGGCACCAAGTAGTAGGGGCGCCGCGATGGTCGTAAGGATGGAATAAACGCCATCCATAGTCGTCCTCTCGTCTTGATGCTCAACATTGTCGTCGTCGTCGCTGGAATCCATATAATGATATTTTTTTGGAGGTAGACGAGGCTCTAGTAGTTTGCTCTCATCCACTGCACGAGGAAAAACTAGAGCATACAAGACACTCGCAGCGTCAGAATAGGCAGGATAGAAAGTAGAGACTTGTCGCTGTGGTCGCTCTGCAGGTGTAGGTGGAGGTGGGTCATTCGTGTCCCCGGAAGCAGGTGGACTTTTTTGTTCAGAGGACTTCACCTCAGAAGGATCTTTATGCGCTTCAGAAAGATCATCTGCATCACCACTATCCGTAGTATGAGAGGACTTCTTCTTCTTTCCTTTTAGAGAAGAAGATCTAGGCTTAGCGTCCTTTCTAGACTTTTTCCTTTTCTCTCTTTTAGAATCTTCTGCCGCTCCTATCTCCCAGAGTTTTAGCTCTTGGTCGCTCTCCATCTCCCACAGCTTATTCAAATTCTGCCATTGTTGGTAAGAGGAAGAAACTCTTGCAGTTCTACTTGAAGTGCCATCTTGATGCAGTTCTCTTGCTCCAGCAGAAGAAGCAGAAGGCAAATCACGTTCCGCCTTTTGTTTCACTACATCTTGATCCTCTTGGCGATACAGTATGGCATCCTCTTTACGAAATTGTTCAGCAGTGAAGTCGAGTACGCCTGAAAATCTGGCGGCATCCAGTGGTGTACACCTGGAAGTAGATACAGAGAACGGCATCGCCTGGAATAACTCCTGTCTTTCTTCGGGTGAAAAATACTCCATTTTTTCGATGAAGTCCTTCACTTCTCCACGTTTTTTTTCCCAGTTTTGCGCCTTTTCAGCTCTATCATCAAAGAAGTTTTTCACCCTTTGCAACAGCTCTGGGTCGTCGTGAGGAGGCAGCCAATAGATATCGCCAGATGTTATCCACCGTGTACTACGTACCAGGAACACCGCATTGAGCTCTGCAGTAGTCAAAAGGTTATCTCGCTCATGATCTTGCCTTTCCGAAGATAAACGAAAAGCATTGGCATGCTTAGGGGAGAGATTTCTTTCATAAAATCGACGCAACATTCGCTGGATCATTGCAACATCGCGTGTGGGGCTGTCCGTGTCTTCAGTGTGCCCCATCCCTGGCGGGTCCTCCTCTATAGTGCGCTGTACTTTTGCTTCCGCGGATCGAAGTAATGCTAAAGTGATTTTCGCAAACATCCTCGGAGGTCTTTTTTCCTCAAATTTCATTCTCAAAGCGTCACTGATGAGTTGTTCATATTTTTTAATGCCCTCTTCATCGTTGAATTTTTTTTTTTTTTTTTCAAGCTTGATGTGAAGCTTATCTAGATGCGTTTCAACGAATTCTTTTGTTTGTTCCGCATTGCGAATCCACACTCGTACATCGTCCAATTTAGAGAAGAAGAGGAGATTATTTAAATAAGATAATGACGAAGGATAAGACTGGGGGTCTGTCTAAGTCATCGTCCCTAAAGATCATTGTCTTATAGTCATATGGACGTGACGGTGACAGACATCAAAATATTCTTGGCCAAGAATAGTGCGTAGAACCTGCAGTGAATGTGGTAAAAATAATACAGAGAGCTTCATCTTCCGGAATTGGAAACAAACAAAATATATAAAATATCAAATTTATCTGACCGAAAACATCAAAATTTACGTACATACAACGTAGAGCCTGCGCTTACTAGAACAGCTAAGGCTAACGAATGAAAATAGATCAGCTAACATTATTCTGGGAAATATCCCAAAATAAACATTCCTTGTTTAAGTACTAGGCATAGCATTCGGATTCTTCGCGGGGACTTCGTCCTCACGGATTAGCTTCTTTACGGACAGATCGACCAGGTTTGGCTCTCCTCTTTTCGTGCTTGTAGTTTCTAAAAGTCGTAGTCGCGTAGCCGTAGCAATTGGGTCTGCTTTGTACGTGTCTAACACCAAATTACGCTTCTTCATAATCATTAGAAAAGGGTGGCTAAGGCTAAGCCTAACTAACCGGCTGCCAAACAACCTTCTCATAAAGGGTTGTTGACTTTTTGCCCAATCCATGAAGCCTATCACGATTCGCGTGCACACAACTGGAAACTAGATGATAGCTATGCGAGATGCTGTAGCTGTACCCTCAACGAGTGTGGCAGCGATTGCAGAACGAAAGAAATATGAGATTGAAGATCCAACTCCAAAGTATGAATGTAAAGCAAAAAGACCACGATCTTAACTGCAATCTCCAAGTTTTTGACACCCTTCCGAACCGCAAATCGTTCAACAAGAAGGGGATATCTCTTCGAGGTAGCCGCATGTTAGAGGTTACGGAACAATTCCATTCCTCCGACGGTCCGTGGCTTCTTACTTGTAAGTCTTTTCATCTATCTAGTTATAGGGAAAGTAGAGCCTCAAGGACACTAGTATTGTGGGATGTAATTCGGAGCCTAGGACCCTTAATTTTGTTTAGCACCGTTGCCTTTGTTTCTTTCAACAAACCTGACGCATGTTCGATGTCCACCAGATAGTGCTTCACGATCGCGTCACGTAAAGTCTCCAGACAGTTTTTGGGCTGTTCGCTTTCTCGTAGACGTTGAAGCGCCAAAGTCTCTGACACCTCGTCAGGGAAAGTCTTTTGTGCAGCCTCTACAGCCCAATCCTTGTGAGTGAGCATTCCCTGTTCTAGTCTCTCCTCGCTTATTTAATGCTAGACACTCTTCACTAACTCTACTCATTTTTGAGTGGAATCTCTTTGCTTTTCTTCATCCCTTCAAGATCAAGTCCCTTGTCAAGCACATGAACCGCTAAGAGTGAAGCAGAACAATCACAATCAGAGGACCAGACTATGATTATCTGATAGTGAAGAGTACGTAGTGCGTCACACCAGATTGATAGTGTTAGTGAGTGTCTACCCTTAACTTATTCTACCATCTTGTAGAGGACAAACGGGATAAGTCAAAGTGACTGCTTCTTTGGATGTTGATGCCGAAGACGGGCTCCAAGTGTCTCCATTGGACGTTGCCTGAGAAGGTGGAAGTAAATCCTCTGGATGATCTGGAATGTTCTGCGCAGCAGGCATAGGATTGGAAGCCGAAGCTCCTCCTGTTGGCAATTGTTCAAGTGCAGGCATGGGATCCGGATCGTAAGCTGCCTGCAACGGACCAGAAGACGAAGAAGCACTAGCAGAGTGTGGCGTGACAAGAACATCGGAAGGTCCTCCTTCAGGTTCATCTTCTTGATCCCGCTCAGAACTTCTTTTAGTCTCCAGCTTTGAGGCCTCGCTTCCCAACTTTATCAAGTTTAAGGCATCGCTAACCCTACTTAATTCTTCCAATCCTTGTGATTGTGAAATCACAACTGATGAAGATGATGCTGCCGCGGCAGCACGATCAGGGAGACCACGCCTTAGTACCTTTTCTACTTCCTTTACTGAGTAACCCCCCAAACAGTCTTCTATCGTCTGAGATATAAATCTATCCACCATCTCATATTCGGAAGATCTCTTCCGAATCTCTTCGAGCTTAGCGTTAAAATGATCCCGAGTGTCTCGTTCGAGGCGTTCTAGAGTATTCAAGTCATCACCCCGATCCATGGCGGTCTGCAGAGCCCTAAACGCAACTTCCAACGTGTTGCCATCATTTCGTTCTGCTTGTGCCAGTAACTTCGCGTGTTTAATAATGTTGGGAAGGTCAATGTTGGGTCTGTAGTTAGAGCTACCGTGCTCGCATCCTTGAGCCGATTATTGAGCCCCTTTCCCCTTTGAAAAGGAGACCAAGCAAGGATCGATGGGACTGAGGATGCTTCAGCGGTAGCCTTAATGTAGTCAGTTCCATGTAATGTTGACAATTCCATTTTGATCGCCACCGCCTCGCTTGCCTTCTGCGCAAGCTTCTCCAAATTGGTTGCCTTTTTTTCGAACTTTCTCTTTCTCACGATCACAGCCCCCACGCGTAAAAACTCCTCTATCTTACTTTTCAACATCGCAAGACGCGCTTCTGATTCAGCTGCTACAGTGTCGTGATCTTTCTCTTCTTTCATCATCTCCGCGTCCTCTGTGTCACCCTCGAACGAGCTTGTAAACGCTTTTAACGGATCGAAAGCTCCTCCTTCAGGCTCATCTTCTTGATCCGGCTCAGAACTTTGTTGAGACTCCAGCTGTGAGGCCTCGCTCCCCAACTTTGAGACTTCACCGACCGTCAATTTTTCAAGTCCTTCTCGGATCGCTTCTATATCTTTCTCGTCAGCGTCGACATCTTTCTCCGCGTCTACAACACCTTTCTCCGCGTCTACAGCTCCTTTCTCCGCTTCTGCATCTCTCTCTGTTTCTCCACCATCGTCTTCTTCGTGCCTCTCTTGAGGTTCCTTGAGTTCGGTTGAGATATCGATTGTAGTTAGAAGAGGCGCACAAGAACATCAAGAAGAACAAGTACATGATAACATGGTTCTTGAGGTAGTACTAGTACAAGTACTAGTATGATGCTGAGCCTCCCTCTCCCCCAAAGTAGATCTTTCTACTGTAGAAAATGAAGAAGCATCGGATGTTTAACATCCTCAAGAACTGGCTCAAAATACAATGAATTACATCATCAAGGAAGGTAGCCCTACTAGTACTAGTAGTCTCTGTATCTGATACGACAATGATTGCAAAGTGATGAGAGTGTCTAAGCCCGTCTCAAAAACGAAAAATGGTGACGCGTGACAATCACAATCTGTAAAAGAAAAAGAAAGTACAAAAAGATTGAGATTACGATTTGTATTTGACTTTGAATGACCGACGATGACAAGCACAGGATTGCTAGTTTGCGATTGTTTGCCTTAAGTCAAACACTCCTGTCGTCGTGTCTTTTTCGAGGAAGGCGAAATCTTGAAATAATGGCTCTCCGGTTAATGGATCGCCCGCAAGCGCCGCCGTCGATCTCAAATGCGCCTCAACCAGTCGCTTCTTCTCTCCACTTTGAAATATTAGCAGCAAGATAAATCCCATGACTTGGGATCCCAACATGACTTGGTGATTATCCCGATTATTCGCTGGTGACAGACCATGCGGAAAAAACGGGCGGACCAAGATGCTGGGACCAACCAAGATGGATTTCGTGTAGCCTTAAAACTAGGTCTTCTGTTGGCCGTTGCTGCTGGGGATCCACTGGCGTCGTGTGAGCTCGATTTGTCACTACTGAGTTCGAAGATGCGGCTAAAATTTGCGCCAAGAAGTCAGGAAAATTTGCAATGAGTCTTTCGAAAATGTCCAAACGTTTGTTTTCCTCACGTGAGATTCGACGATCGTGGTGTCCCTCCTGAAGATGGACGCCATACTCTGGAGCTAGAGGGATCGTGCTGCCTTGTTGCTCTACTGGCGGCACGTTCCTAGTATTGCCTGTTTGTACGTCCACGTAGTTTCTAGCATCTATGATCCTCGCAAGGTTTCTTGCGCGCGAGTCTGCGGCTTGTTGGACGACACGAACAAAATTCCCCATTTGCTGACTTCCTGGATAGGCATAGCTGGTCATCTGGTGATGATGAGGCACTGGCTCAACATAGAGCGGTGCAGGAGCGTCGCTTCCCCTCGTCCCGGTCTCGGTCCTCTGGGCTTGAGATGGTGCAATACGCTGGGCCTGACCTCGAGGCGGGTTTTCTCTCGTTCCTTGTTTCTTCCTGTCCCGTTGCTCTTGTTCCGCACAATCATGAAAGGAGAAAAAATGGTAGTCAATAAACAAGTCAAAAGCAGCGAAGGGACTAAATAAATCGGAATCTTCAGCAAGCGTAATCGACTGACAACTACGAGCTGTAAATATTACTTGCAATTTGTAACTGTGGCAATCAACATCCATTAGGATTAGCAGTTACAAGAGCCAACGAAATCGAAGTCATAACGGCTTGCTTCTTCATCAGCAGCGCCCGTTGCTGGTCGGTGTATTACGTTGTCGTTGTCCAGTCTCGCCAAGACAACTATATCTGATCGAGCTCTTCGAGGCGGACGACCGAAAGCCTGATGCTCGCCACCACCTTCGCCTCCGGCCGTTGGAGGAGCTCGATGCTCGCTACTTCCATCTTCGCCATCCCCAGATTAACGCTAGTTTTTCACTCCAGCTCTGTGGCTCTTGAGTGAGACGCTTTGTGTCCCCCTTAATATGGGTGGAGCCAAGCTAACTAGGAAGAAAACCCCTTAATATGCTTATTATCCCGTTAAAACCAAGGGCAAGGGGGACTCGTCTACTCAGCATGCTCCACACTGGCAGATGAGGATAATCTACTAGCCATAACTTCTAACGTCGACATCCATTTGCTGCTCTATCAGTTTTTCTCTACTGGTAATCATCATTTCATCTTTCACCTCTGCTCCCATCTTATCAGTCGCTTGTGCTTCCACTGGGCGCGGAAACAGTTCCGTTACCGCCTCAGTGTCCGGGACGGAGACAATGAGGTCCACACACTCCTCCATGATGCTTTTTCCTCGAATCCAGCTGAGCTGATTTCTAGAATCATGCTGAGCCGTAGTATTCTTAGTACTCCCTTTATTGTGCGAATCTTTGTCTTTCATGTCTTCTTGGCGTAATTGCGCTACGGTTCTTTGGTAAGTGTCAACCATGTACTCGAAGCCACGGACGAAAGAAATAACCATCCCTTCTCGGCGTCGCCATGCCGCTTCTAGTTCGATTCTTTCCTCACTCTTTGTTCGAGGTACAAGCGAAAAGATAAAGAGCCCATCTTCTAGTACTTCTAGTTCTACTACTTTTGGAAGAATTGATATTCATTGCTACACCGTTTAGCATTATTTCTTTTCTAAGTACTACTAGTACTTAAAAAGATGTTCATCTACCTCATGTTGATGATCTTGATAGTTGTACTGGTTCCAAATAGGAAAGAAAAGGGCAAGGACCAAACTACAAAGATGGGCTCATGAAAGTAGTAGTCTTAACTTTGCGATCCAGTCCAACCATTCTTGATACATGCCTCCACGCGTTGCGTGAGAAGCAGGTGCTGTATCAAAGTCAGCTAAGTTCATCTTTGGTCGTCTCCCACTGCTCAGGTCAAAATCTATCATCTTGTTCCCTAGCGCAAAAGATGAAGGGTCTTCTTGCATTTTCTTATACCAGTCTCGAAAAGCGTTTACTTCGTGTATCTGTGGTAAGCCACGCATCATGGAACTACTATGAAAGCCAGCCCAGTTCTTAACCACGACGCGGTCTCTACTGTCTCTGTGTCCTGGGGCCTCATCCGGTGAGTTGTTCGAGGACACATCAGGAGGCTGTTCCGGGACTACATCAGGAGGTGTAAAATGCTGTAGTCTCAGGCTTCTCTGTCTTCTTAGCCATTTCTGAAGCATGCCTTTGATGCTATCCAAGATCTTTACCACTGCTAGGAGTAAAGCTTCATCCCTAAAGGTGGCTCCTGCTGCGTCTTTATCAAGATCAACACTATGATGAGTAGTATGTGCATGTGGTCTGTCCGTGTCCTGCGGTGACTTCATCCGCAGCTCTGTCAAGCCCCAACGAGCAGCTTCGTCTTGCTTTCCAAGGAAAATCTGAAAGCGAGGACCGTGTTGGAATTCTCCATTCTTGAAAGTCTCGCGTGCGCGAGTCTCATCGATATCCAACAGTTTGACTAAAGTCAACTCCTCAATATTGTTCGTGGTCCTGAGTCAGGGAAAAAAGAGGTAAGATAGGTCTAAAATTTCAATCATGCTCTAGTATTAGAATTTTAGTATTTCCTTAGGGGAACAGCTTCAGTTGTCGTGCGTAGATACTCTCAGTTCATCTGATGGACTATAAAGTCTGATGGAGTACTAGTTTCTTTCAAATATTACCTTCCACCAATCGAGTGCTGTGCGCCTTCACCACTTCCGCTACCGCTATGCGAAGCATGACCTCGTCCCGCTCCACCTCTACCACTACTTCGCGCATCTCCACCCTCAGCGCCGTTTCCTCCTTGTCTCCCACGTTGATTACTTTGAAGATGGCGTTTTGAACACCTTGGAGATGCAGCATGATGATGTTCCTCGTGATCTTCATCCTCCTCGTCGAAGGGAGATGTGGGAGGAAAATCATATGGCGATGCAAAATCACTACTAAAAAGGGGCTCAAAAGGATCAGAGCGGTCATTTCCGCGCAAGACCAAAGCGCCCATGTTATCAAAAATCTGCGGTCTCGTGATCCACAAGCCCTCAACGCTATCTTTGACGGGCCAAGGTCGGATGCCGCTATTTTTCGATAGCCCGACCATATTTTCCCATACTCTCGTTTCTTCTAATTTCTTTAACAACTGCTTTTCCGTGTCTTGAAGTAGGGCATCATGATCCTTCTTTGGCTTCTCTTGTCCTCCAGGCTCGAGCCCCAGTAACAAATCAGCTGATAGCGCCAAGGCATCTTCTGTACTAGTTCTCTGGGGGATATTCGTATCTTCGGGCGTCTGGTGCAGTTTGGATGCCGTGTACTCACTGCGGAGGCTGATATGGTCCTCTTTGAAATAGTCCACCCCATTCTGCTTCGTCCTGTGGTGGAGCACGTCGTCGAATAGCTTGTCCATGTTTGAATGCTTCCGGTATTTGGTACTAACCTGAGTAGTCTGATCATAAGGGAAAACAAGAAGAGAACCCTTACCCTTATGATCAAAATTTCAGGTAAAGCCTGAGTCTGATCATAAGGGAAAACAAGAAGAGAACAAGAACAACCCTTATGATTGATCAAAATTTCAGGTAGTTACCAAATACCAGAACCATCCAGAACCATAGAATGTTAGGTTCAAAAAGACTTGCGCGCCTCCAGTAATACCGCTCCAACTTTTCCCGTGGTACGCCAGTCTGCTGTGACAGAACGTACAAAGCGATCCGGGTCAACGCTTTTCTTTTACTTTCCTCCACAAGAAGCTGGCGATTGAGCTCAGCGCCAAGGTATTCGACATCGGCTTGACATTTGAAGAGCCTGTCTGCGTGTTCAAATGCTAGGAACTGAGATGGCCGCAAAGAGGAGCGGATAGCTTGTTCGTACTCGTGTTTTTTTTCTTCCCGAAAACGTTCCAGCACCTCCCTTGCGGCTGAGAGGTCAGCTTCTCGGTCTCTGCGTGCTGCGTCTCGGACCTTATCAATCAAGTAATCAATGGCGTGACGGTAAAACAAGTTGTAATGCGACTCAATTGCAGAATACAATGTGCCAGCATTTTCACGAACAACCAGCGATTTAAAGAGGCGGGCTTTCTGCATCCTCTGGCATTTGGCCTGTGCAATCCCGTCTCTACTCCTCTGTCCCTGAGCCCGCAAGCTGCAATATTTTCGCAAATCAGATCCCTCCAAATCGTATTCCGAAGTGCTCCGATCACTGGCGTGCAAGGAAAGTTCGCTCTTTATTTTCTTTCCCTCCTCGGACCAAAATAACTCAACATCTTCTGTGCTTCTTTCCCATGTTCTTGTTGGATGATGCTCAGCTTTCACTTCTGCGTGGTTGTACTTCTGCAAAGTAGACAAAGAGTCCCGCGACCAAGAAGAGGAGAGACTTCTAAAACCTCCCTCGTCGGGTTCTCCTGTTTCTCTAGGGTCGCGGCGATTCAGTTGTCGCGTTATATCTGAATCTACTCTAAGACCAAAGAGCTTCACTTCCGGTTGCTCAAAGAGGTAAGACTGGAAATCTCGAGCTTCATCTCGGTCATCCGGGTTGTCTTAGAAACTAAATCTTATAAACAATTTGAACCGAATCCATCTTGAACCCCGACGACAAGTCAGTGGCATCCTGGCGCAGGCCTCTTTGGACTCTCTGTGGATGATGGGGAAGACGCCGCGCCAGGATGAAGAAATTGTTTATTCAACTGTGACAACTCGAGATGAGATGGTTTCGGAGAAGAACATACAAGTCATAAAAAAGCATGCCTTTGCCTTCTCTCGCTTCACTTACTGAATCTAGGTGACGTCTGTAGTCGGCACTTCTATGGTCGCTACTAGCTCCAGAGACAACCAGCACAGCGCCAACTCTCTTCCCGGCTAAATCTGGAAACCACGCTGCCCCCTTAAAGCGCTCCCGAACTTTCTGAGACGCTTTAGCAGAAGGTCCCCCTTGATCATGTTTGTAAGCCTTAGACCGAAAGAGAAGGTAGTTCAAAAACTTCTCTAGTATCTGCTTGGTCGCGACATATTGGTCATGACGGAGAACGGACCACTGAACGTCCTTCCAAAAGCT